TCGGGACACGACGCCACCGTTCGGCTCGGTGGACGCACAGGCTCGGCCACGCATGGGCGCCCGCACGCGGGGCCCTGGGACGTCGAGCTTCCCGCGAGCTTGCAACCTCGCCACACATTTTGTATACCAAACCTCCATTATCCGACTGGACACACGCTATAAAAAAAAGAGAAAAGAGGGGAGACACCGGAGCGAGGGCACGTTGATAGATCACGGTGGTGGGACGATGATGAGCGCATCGAGCTTAGCGCGAGTTTGCAAGCTCGCGACAAAGACCACGTTTTTTACATGTATATCAAGGTGGTACACCGGTCGTGGATGAGTTTCTAGCTCGCTTTATTTCCCCGAGAAGCGTCGAGAGCTTGCCGGAGAGCGAAGCTTGCTGCGACACCTCTCCTCGCTGTTTCTACTGGTTGCAACCAAATTATTGGTGGTTATTATAGCGTGATCGCCGCCGGGCCGCGGGTCAAAAAAACAGGCTTCGAGAGAGCTCACCGGCTCGCACGCGATTCCTTGATTCCCCGCTCTCTACATACGGTGCCTCCTACATCCCCGATGCCTGACGGGGGACAAAGCTGGCCACGCCTACGCGAGATCACACGTCCAGGGGCTGTCGACACCATTCACACCGTTAAATACGAACGCTTAGCCCTAAGTTTTGTGTTGTACAGCTTGGCGCCTAGTCTAATGTACCGCGAGGTAACGCGCGTCTATGGAAGCGGCGAGAGAGAGCGAGAGAGAAACACGGTCCTGGCAATCGGGCGTTGATACGCGATCAGCTCGATCGTCTTGCAACGTGTCGATCGGCGTGCATCTTCGACTTTAGTTTCAATGATACGCGACAAAAATGCGCGTAACATTGACAAAAACATTCACAAAAATTAACGTGCGAACGTTGATCGGTTCGAAGTCGTTTGAACCGAGTCTGACCAGGTTTGTAAAATGTATGGACGTTCGAGGACGGTTTCATTAGGTTCACGTTGGGTTCGATTGTAAAGACGCAGGTGTAAATGTGTTCAGCAACAAGGATTTTACTGGGTTCGAAGCTGTGTGAGCAGAGTTTGATCGCGTTTGTAAACGGTGTGCACATTTGAGACCGGCTTGATCAGGTTCGCGTTGCGTTCAGTTCGCAGGCACGCGTGTAAATATGTCCAACGACGCGGATCATACTGTTTGAAGCTGTTTGAGCCAAGTTCGACTGCGCGAAAATGATCATATTTCTATGTACAGCATCGTTCGACGATTTGAGGCCGGTTTCACCAGGTTCGCATTGAGTTCGGTTCAATGGCACGCGTGTAAATATGTCCAACGACGCGGATCATACTGTTTGAAGCTGTTTGAGCCAAGTTCGACTGCGCGAAAATGATCATATTTCTATGTACAGCATCGTTCGACGATTTGAGGCCGGTTTCACCAGGTTCGCATTGAGTTCGGTTCAATGGCACGCGTGTAAATATGTCCAACGACGCGGATCGTACACTGTTTGAAGCTGTTTGAGCCAAGTTCGACTGCGCGAAAATGATCATATTTCTATGTACAGCATCGTTCGACGATTTGAGGCCGGTTTCACCAGGTTCGCATTGAGTTCGGTTCAATGGCACGCGTGTAAATATGTCCAACGACGCGGATCATACTGTTTGAAGCTGTTTGAGCCATGTTTGACTGCGCGAAAATGATCATATTTCTATGTACAGCATCGTTCGACGATTTGAGCGCGGTTTGATCAGGTTTACAGGTGGTTCGGTTCGGAAACCTTGACACAACCTGCGCGGAAATATGTCAAATAACATCGGTTCTATTGTTTGATGTTATTCGAGTTATTCAAGTCCCCCGTGAAATTAAAGCTCGGCGATGGTTGGACATGCGAGAAAAATTTGCTCGATAAAACGAGCTTCCGCGTACGTTCGAAGGCAATTGAGATTAGGATACGCCGCGTTTCGCACGATTGCCAGGATCTTGTTCTCGCGAGCCCACACCATGCCCCACACACCGTTCGATTCCTTGAATATTTGTATATATCTATACACGTCTATTGGAGAACGTCTGTTGGTGTAGGGACGCGTTCCCTCGACGAGGTTCGCATGTGTTCCCGTTTCGTCGTTGATCGTTTGTTGTACTATATCCGTAAGGTGTACTATAATGAGGAGAAGAGAGCGAGAGAGAGAGAGAGAAGATTGGAGGAGACGAAGTGAAGAAGAAGAAGATGTCGCAAAGGAAAGGACACGGTGGAACAGATGTTCGCGGGTGATGTAAGTGAGCGAAAAGGGGTGGCGCGAGGCTTTAGGGTAAAACGTTCAGATTCACCGTATACTTTAGCTCGTTCAAGCACCTCGTCAAGGGCAACGGGCCTTATCGTATACATAATACCTTTTACTCGATCAACGTCGACCGCTTTCAGGGTCCTCGAGAGCGTTCTGATTAAGTAGGATCAGCTAGATCGTTCGGGACTTTCGTGATGTTCGCTCGGATACGGTCGACCGTGGCCGACTGCGATCTACAAATCCTTGATCCTTTCTAAAATCCTTTTAATCATTTATTTTTTACTAGACTGCGGACTGCATTCGTCGCAAAAATGAGTTGCTGCAATACAATGCGAAGGCTTGAAAATATTTCTAAGAATAATGCCAAATTAGTTTTGGTTTATCGACGTTATTATATAAAGAAATGCATTTCTAATTTATGTTTCTTGCTATTAACACAGAGACATTTTATTTCGCATGAAGATCCGCAGTCTATTTACTGCGGCGAAATTTGAAATTGAATGCTGGCAAACTGTTGCTCAAAAATTAAGAGTCTATGGGAACGAATCGGAGATCTTTTTTCAAATCTATTTGATCCGCAACGTTAAACGATTTGGTACCTTGATGATTGTAAATATTGAGAACCGTCTAATCTCGAGGATCGTTAATTTAATTTTATATCCCCGAACTTCTCTTTTGCTGGCCCATTTCGAGAATTGCATTAGAAAATATTAGAAAAATTGAACATTGGTAGCAGTTGCTTCAAAATCGAGCAAATTATTTGAATCATCCAAAAACCAATGACGCTAATCGTTCAAAATAAGAGGTTCCAAAGGGTTCGGCTAACGATTTATCAACGAGACAGAGAAACCGCGAGAGCAGTCGGTCCACGATCGACTTGATCAGAGTCGCGCTCGAACGAAGAGAGTCGCACGTCGCCATAATCGCTGCCTGCCCAGCAGCCCTTAAATGCCGACAATCAAGGCTAGTGCAACTAATCAAACGATAATAAATAGAAACGGAGAAGATGAAGAAATTACCTAATAATATTTAATGAGTCTTAGATGAGTGACCGTCGCGACGGTGGGTTCGTTCATGTCATTCGCTGCGTGGCCTCCACGAGCATCGGCGAGAGAACAAGCGAACAATGAAAAGCTAGCGTAGAAAACGAGCGACGAGAAATCTAGGAGCAAGGTGAAAAAAAGAAAAAAGGAAAGTATTTTGGAACGGTAATCTCGTGGAGGATCATCGACACGCGGACATGGCAGATCTGTGAATGGAGATCACGTGCTTGACTGTAGACAGTACAAAAAAGTGCGGCGCGTGGCGAAGAGATCCAGAATCCAGGTTTTTAGGATCTAGGATGATTTTACTCTGATAGAAACTAAAAGGTCACACGTTTTGAACTGTCGTTCGTGCTAGGTGACAGGGGCTCATCTTTCGCCACTCAATTGATCCGGGCCTCGCATTTAAAGCTCCTCGGGGGCTCGGGACTACTTTCCAAAGAGACATTGCCTTATCTACGAGCGTTCGAACTCCGCAGCTCTCAGATTCAGTTCGATTCGGCGTGTCCTTAACTCTGGGGAAACTCGATGAAACAGCGGTCGGGATTGCATTTGTTCCGCGACACGCGTTGCATTTACTCCGAAATGTTTCAATCGTTTGCCGCACGAATTCGTTCGCATGGATGTTTCGTTCTGCTTCATTTTGCGGACCATCGATGAATTTTTCAGACAAAAATAGGTAGCGTGTTTTCGTCGCAGGTTTCTTTTGTACGCGATAAGTATGCGAAATAACTATTTCCGAAGACAATTGTACGAAACACTAGTCGAATAAAAACAAATTGTTCCTTTTAGTAATTTCAGTAGGTTGATGACTTTGAATTAATCGAATAACTTTGAATACTTTTAACAAGTTCAGAATAGTTTCATAATGTTATAAAATTGTTCTTATGTCTTCAATATTTATTTCTTCATCCTTAAAGACATCGTTTCACAAGAAGATTGCATTGTTTAATACATTGTTTATCAAATAACATCATGTTTAATGTTTCGAATGCTTCCAGCCGCATTCTGAATCAACATCGTCATTTCACGCATCATTTCGCGCACCATTTTATACATTTACGACGAAGCCGACTAATTGAAGTTTAATAATAATTGACAAGAATCGAAAAATCGTTATCACTTGTTGCTTATCGAAAAATCTCGAAGAGAGAAGAGATCTCAACGTGGCCGTTCGTTGCTCTTCCAAAGAGATCTTCGTCCGGCATTAAAATCTGCGTTGACGCACAGTTGAACAGCTCGATTGCCCAGGGTTAATTACCGCGAACGATCTCTGCGCCACGTGACAGAGACAGACATGTAGCTAGCACCCGTGGAAACGTTCGTCCCCCCAACGTCATTGTCAAGGTCCTCGTCACCTTTATTCCGACTCGACTGGACTCGAACGAGGCGTGAAAGGAGACGGAGCGTGAACGGGATATGAGCGAGCGAATGGTAGGAGCGAGAGAGTGTGCAATCGCAATCAATTATTAACTATAATAACGGCAGAAAGTGCGGCGGAATTTACGTAGGACATAGGTACACGGGTCTCGCGAGGGGGGAAAAAAAGAGAGAGATACATACCGGCAGGCAAGTTGACGATAGAGCGAGATCGACGATAAAGAGAGACAGAACGAGATATGGTGGTGTTAATCGCAACAAAAAAAAACAAAAAAACAAAATGAAACCTTGGTAGCAGCGCATAAGGGTATCCATAAGCTTTTGGTAACGTATTATCGCCGCTAGGCTAAAAGAGAATTAATAAGATACAAAAAAAAACAGAAAAATATATATATATATTATATTATGGAAGAAAAGACAGTGAAGGAGAGAGAGAGAGAGACGCGAACACGCAGGAGAAAAACATTATAACGGGTGGACTGCGGATTTCGCGCATCGGAAAGTTTGTAGATCGAAAACGGCGTGAAACGGTTTCGAGAATTCCGTTGTTTCCAAACGGTTCACATTGTTTAGGTTGTTTCCGTGGCAGTGTTTGTATCGCGCGGGCCGACGCGGACGATTGTTCATTTCGCAGACGAAATCCGCAGTCCACTGGGCGAAAAACTCGCGAGGAGACTCGAGTGTGTTTCGAGAGCATCGGGCCCGTGCGAAAACGAGACCTCGACGAAAATCAGCGTCGCGGCGACGAGAACCGCTCAACCGGCGACCGGAGATCGCACCCAACAGTCGATGCTCAACGATTTCAGCGGCGAGAACAGAATGAACGGAACTGGAGGGAACGTGGAACGACGAGCGTTTGTATAATCGGTCAACGGGGGGGAAAAAAAACATGAAAATAATATTAATAATTAACGCGATACGTCTATTCGGAAAATTATTTGGATAATCTGTGATACTCAGATTGACGATTATTATCGGTTATCTCGGTCGGAACTATTCGGAGAATTTTTGCGCGGGCGTTTTTAATCGGTGGCGTACGTAATTAATATCGGGCCTGTTTGACGGGGGCTCGATTAGGACGCTTGCTGGAGGGACGCGACCGCGAGACTAGGTCGCCATCTTGGATACGAAAGTATCCGCGAGATCCATTTCGATCATTACTGGTAATTAGTGACATCGATAACAACTGATATTGGGAGAAGAAACGTCGTTAAAAGATTCTTAAGCAGAAGATTTATGCAATGACGATCTCTTCGTCGAATTGGCGAATGAGAATATGCTTTGTTTAGCATCAAAAACACACTGAAATGCTTTAAGAGATTGAGTAATTATCAATTTAGAGTTTCACTTAGCAAGCGAATAATTTCTTCTTCGTCCACAATTTCACTCAAAAGAAAATGAAATTAATTATCAGAATTTCTACATTCTAAAATTCAAAAAATATTTATACCTATAAATGTACAACTATCCAAACTTTATAAATGATCAATGAAAAGAATTTACGTTTCGTTGCGAGGATCCAGGAAAATCAATTATACAATTCGTCAAGATTCAGTTCATTAATAAATTATTTTGTCGTCGTCCACGATTTCACTCGAACAAAAATCAAATTAAATGTTATCGCGATTTCCATCCCCTAAAATTCGAAAGGTACGTACAGCGATAAATTACGCAACAAAAAAGTTCACGATCGTCGAACGATCGGCGTTAGGGATCTCCGTTTAATTGAGTGGATCCGGGGGGAAATTAATTATAAAGTTCGTCTAGATGGATGGAGCGTGGACTTAGTTTCGCGATCGCGCCAATTTGTCACGATCTATCGGGACGCTCGTGGTAATCGCCCCGTGGCCAACTGGAGACGAGGTCCGGACCGATCCATGGATCATCGGTGATCGGTAGATCGGGCAGATCGCAGGTGCTCGGAAGCGTTTGAGTCGGGAACGTTCGGCCCGGCGCTACGCGGCGCGGCTCGTTGATTCGATTGCGGCTGACGCGCTCCGACAGATTGTTTTTTATATACATAATGTTTGCTCGGATCATCCAGCGAGCACGCGCGAGACTCGCGGCGATTAATCGTTCGGGAAATGCGTACTCGATAGTTTCTCGTGGGAGGCCAGAGCACGCGGATTCTTTCCACTCGGTTTTTTTACGATATTCGCACGGACCTGGAGATCGCGCGTCCACGAAATCGGCCAGTTTTCTCGCCGATTCAACAATCTCTTCCGCCACGATTGATTTCTCCGACTTCGCCTGTTCTCAATCGATCGCTATTTATTCCTATCGGTCGCTATTCATTTCCGAAAGTTTTCGCCGCGAACTAAAATGATTTTCCAACAGGATTGTACCGAAGCAAATTACAATTGTAAATTCGTGAACGGAGAGTGCGCTTGTTTTAGCAGATCCGCGGTAATCGACTTCGGAGAAGTTAAAGGAGAAGCTGCAGTTCGGCAAGAGAAATTGATTTCCTAAAGTGGAAATACCACGAATCTCTGAATCGATCGTGCTCATTCTCATTTGAATAGTTTCGCGTCGTAAGAACTCTAACGAGAGCAACCCTAATTCGAGCGAAATGCTGCAACGATTGAAATGCAGACTCGACGCGTCGTTGTTGAACGATCGAGAAAAACAATTCTGTTTAATCGAGCAACGATTTTTTAAAAGTGTGTCACGAAAGCGACGGGTTCGTTTATATAGCGTCTGGCAGCCGATTTCGCGGATGTCGTTTAAGTTGTATTCCACGTAACACCCACGAGATAATCATGTTACTAAGACTCTGCGTTTTTTAATATCAGCGAGGCTCGGCCCGGACAACGGGCGGACAAAAGTGTTTTCAATAAACTGTTACATTACCTGAACCGTCTCTGCCCACTTTATTTCCCGCCACCGTGTAGATCCCGTAGAGACGACCGACGTCGAACACGTTCAGGCGAACGATCCTGTAGCACTTAGCGACACACGTTCATTTCTCGCGTTCAATCGGATCTGTCAAATGTGGTTCCAAGAAACGACGAGAATCGAATCCGAGTAGAAGAGATTCTTTTTTTATTCCTTTAATTTATATGGTTGTTCTAATCGAAAATTATGTCGTCGCCGAAGCCACGGAAACCACGAAAGCTGTGGAAGCGAAGAATGTCGAAGAGAGAGGACAGGAAATCGACATTAGTTCAGTCGTTCACGACAAAATGGTAACGAGAATGTGCAAACGATTTGATTAAACAGTGCTCTGTAACCTTGTTTCATTCGTGAATTCGTTTGCTCGTTATTTCGTTTAGTTGTTAATTGGTTTATTCGTTATATCGTTTACTTGTCCGTTCGTTCATTCGTTATTTCGTTTAGTTGTTAATTGGTTTATTCGTTATATCGTTTACTTGTTCGTTCGTTCATTCGTTATTTCNGATCGCAGGTGCTCGGAAGCGTTTGAGTCGGGAACGTTCGGCCCGGCGCTACGCGGCGCGGCTCGTTGATTCGATTGCGGCTGACGCGCTCCGACAGATTGTTTTTTATATACATAATGTTTGCTCGGATCATCCAGCGAGCACGCGCGAGACTCGCGGCGATTAATCGTTCGGGAAATGCGTACTCGATAGTTTCTCGTGGGAGGCCAGAGCACGCGGATTCTTTCCACTCGGTTTTTTTACGATATTCGCACGGACCTGGAGATCGCGCGTCCACGAAATCGGCCAGTTTTCTCGCCGATTCAACAATCTCTTCCGCCACGATTGATTTCTCCGACTTCGCCTGTTCTCAATCGATCGCTATTTATTCCTATCGGTCGCTATTCATTTCCGAAAGTTTTCGCCGCGAACTAAAATGATTTTCCAACAGGATTGTACCGAAGCAAATTACAATTGTAAATTCGTGAACGGAGAGTGCGCTTGTTTTAGCAGATCCGCGGTAATCGACTTCGGAGAAGTTAAAGGAGAAGCTGCAGTTCGGCAAGAGAAATTGATTTCCTAAAGTGGAAATACCACGAATCTCTGAATCGATCGTGCTCATTCTCATTTGAATAGTTTCGCGTCGTAAGAACTCTAACGAGAGCAACCCTAATTCGAGCGAAATGCTGCAACGATTGAAATGCAGACTCGACGCGTCGTTGTTGAACGATCGAGAAAAACAATTCTGTTTAATCGAGCAACGATTTTTTAAAAGTGTGTCACGAAAGCGACGGGTTCGTTTATATAGCGTCTGGCAGCCGATTTCGCGGATGTCGTTTAAGTTGTATTCCACGTAACACCCACGAGATAATCATGTTACTAAGACTCTGCGTTTTTTAATATCAGCGAGGCTCGGCCCGGACAACGGGCGGACAAAAGTGTTTTCAATAAACTGTTACATTACCTGAACCGTCTCTGCCCACTTTATTTCCCGCCACCGTGTAGATCCCGTAGAGACGACCGACGTCGAACACGTTCAGGCGAACGATCCTGTAGCACTTAGCGACACACGTTCATTTCTCGCGTTCAATCGGATCTGTCAAATGTGGTTCCAAGAAACGACGAGAATCGAATCCGAGTAGAAGAGATTCTTTTTTTATTCCTTTAATTTATATGGTTGTTCTAATCGAAAATTATGTCGTCGCCGAAGCCACGGAAACCACGAAAGCTGTGGAAGCGAAGAATGTCGAAGAGAGAGGACAGGAAATCGACATTAGTTCAGTCGTTCACGACAAAATGGTAACGAGAATGTGCAAACGATTTGATTAAACAGTGCTCTGTAACCTTGTTTCATTCGTGAATTCGTTTGCTCGTTATTTCGTTTAGTTGTTAATTGGTTTATTCGTTATATCGTTTACTTGTTCGTTCGTTCATTCGGTATTTCGTTTAGTTGTTAATTGGTTTATTCGTTATATCGTTTACTTGTCCGTTCGTTCATTCGTTATTTCGTTTAGTTGTTAATTGGTTTATTCGTTATATCGTTTACTTGTTCGTTCGTTTATTCGTTATTTCCATTACTTGTTCATTCGTTAACTCGTTGATTCGTTTATTCGTCATTTCGTTTACTTTTTCACTCGTTTACTCGTTAATTCGTTTATTCGTCATTTCGTTTATTTGTTCACTCATTTATTCATTAATTCGTTTACTTCTTCATTCGTTATTTCGTTTACTTCTTCATTCGTTATTTCGTTTACTTGCTCATTCGTTATTCCGTTTACTTGTTAAATCCTTTATTCGTTTACCTGTTAATTCGTTTATTCGTTTGCATGTTAATTCCTTGTCTCGTTAATTAATTTTATACGAATATTTATGAGTACGTTCTTATAAAAGCACGCTGCTTCTTTGTGTACATTTTCGTCACGATTTAATCTTTCATTAAGTCTAATCATTGCGATTTAAGGTTATCCAATCATATTTATGAAACAAGATCGAAGAGCACCCGCATCATTGAAACGCAAACGCTTATGTCAGAGCCTTCGACGCTGTCGAGAAGATCATCAAAGAGCAGTGTCATTTGCTTAGGATCGTTCAGGAAAGTCCCGGAATTAGTGAATCTGGAAGACAGCAGCGACGACTGCGAGATCGTCAAAATGGCGACCTTAGCTCAATCGGAAATTAAAAAGTGGAACCAGAATGTACGCTAATTTTCTCATACTTTTCTAAAATTGTTGCACTTCAAAGAATCGATCTTGAACACAAAATGAAGCGACGATAGTCTGTGATAGAAATTACTTCGCTTTATCAATAAAAATTCATTTTCAACGCATATCTGATTTATATATTAGAGACGGTTTGCGATAGAAATGATCACGCTTTATCAATAAAAATTAATTTGAACAGATATTTGACTTATATATTAGAGACGGTTTGTGATAGAAATGACCACGCTTTATCAATAAAAATTCATTTTCAACGCGTATCTGATTTATATATAAGAGACGGTCTGTGATAGAAATTACCACGCTTTATCAATAAAAATTAATTTTCAACGCGTATCTGATTTATATATTAGAGACGGTCTGTGATAGAAATGATCACGCTTTATCAATAAAAATTAATTTTAACAGATATTTGACTTATATATTAGAGACGGTTTGTGATAGAAATGATTACACTTTACCAATAAAAATTAATTTTTAACGCATATCTGATTTATATATAAGAGACGATTTGTACCAGAAATGACCACGCTTTATCAATAAAAATTAATTTTAACAGATATCTGATTTATATATAAGAGACGGTCTGTGATAAAAATGATTACGCTTTAACAATAAAAATTAATTTTCAACGCATATCTAATTTATATATAAGAGACAGTCTGTGATAGAAATGACCACGCTTTATCAATAAAAATTAATGTTAACAGATATCCGATTTACGTGTTAGAGATTAAAAACTATTCGAAATGAAAGTATCGTCGACTAAAATTTCTGTGATATAGAAAATCCTAGATGTAATCGTCACCTTTAATTTTGCAAGGCAGATAAGTCGCAATCAGGAATCTTCTAGCAAAGGAGGAGACATTCTCTATCTCAGCTTTACCAGCTCGCATAATCCGGAGCTCTCCGAGGAACGCCTCGGTCATGTAAGGTCGGCCCTCGATGGCGCTCAATTTGGATAAATCGAATTCGGTCAGGGGAATCGTGTTCACACCCAAACCTACTAATTCCGACGGATGAACGCCGAGCCAGCGCACATTTGGACAAGCTAAGCTCTCCTCTTGGTTGGACAAACTCGCAGATCCGAATCTATTTTTAACGGAAGCGAGAGCATCGTCAATACGGTTCCGTTCGATCAATTATACATATTATTTGCACTCGTTTAATTGCAGTCGTTAGAATTATTTTAAAAATTATCTTAAAAATTATTCTAAAAATACGTTAAACTGTTTTAAAAATTCACCAAATGACTCGAATTTTTTCTTGAGCTTTTGGACCAACTAGTTTGCTAGGCAACGAGTAAACAAAGTTTTGTGACAATTGAAATCGGTTATATATAACAAATATATATATAACGAATATATATAACAAATATAAAATGCATTTTTCATAAAAAGAAGTTGAGGAAAAAGCCAGTTTCTAATTTATTTATCAGTCCAATCAATCGCCATTTTTGCATAATCTTTTTACTCATTGTCTAGTAAAACAGTCCAACATTTTATTTTTGTTTTAAAATAATTTAACGACACTTTCGTGAATAATAAAAAATGTCCATGATCTCCCTCACTATGAATGGCAACAAAAATTGTGTCTACAAATTGCTGAGTCAATGAATTTGTTTGCGATGCATAAATTGAACGAATTACCGATAGACACACATGATGTCGACACCGAATGGGTCCGCGTCGACGAGCGCGTAAACCGGAAGTGCCATTTTCTCCGCTAACAGTTTCACCAGCATTCTCGTGGCCACGTCGGGGTAGCCCTTTCCGGTGACCAAAATGCAATTCAACGACCCGGTGCAGTCGTCCTCTAATAATTTCTGGAACACCGAGTCCTTCTCGACGACCAACACCATTTTGGCTTTGGTGCGCACGGAAATCAAGTTCGACGCGACGTTCGGAATAAGGGCGCCTCCCGGCACGGTGCAGTCGATGATTCGATTATCGATCAGCCGGAGGGTTAATTCGCCGGCAGCTAATCCCTTTGACGTGGGCAGCAGATCTGTACAATTGATTGTTAATGCCGTGGATTACGAGACTGTTTCCGGTTGTTGCGACGTAAATTCGCAGGATGCGGCAAACATCTCGTTAATGGATTGTTGTGGCTGATGCGCGCGATTGCAGGGAGTTTAGGTTGCTGTTGCGGTGTCCTAATTTTCTTTGTGAAATCCGCGATTCGATACAATTCGGTGCAGTCTTATTTTAGTTATCATTTTCTGGAAGCATCGTTTCTAAAATATTGGTGCAGCTTTCTTTTAGCCTCAAATTTGAAAAGTACTATTCGCAAAATGCCGTTTTATAATAACATTTAAATTTTTTTAAAATTTAAGATTCAATAAAACGTGCAGTTTACTTTCAACTTGAATTTTCTGGAAGCACTGTTTGTAAAATTGAAGATCCAATGAAACGTGCAGTTTTCTTGAAAATTTGAAAAAAGAACTTAAAAACTTGGAAACTTGAAAATTTCAACTTTAAATTGTTCTTAATTTGCTTCTAATAGTGAGTATAATTTAACTGACTGCATATAGTTGCAGATGACTTTAAAATTGTACAGTTCACAGCAAAAATATTGTTTTATCATACAGCCACCATAGAGACATTTATTTTCGAGCGATTAAAGCATTTGATAGGACTCCTTGCTAATATTCTTTCGCATAATTAAAGGGCGGGTAATCAAAGAAAGAGGGATGAATAAAATTACTTACTAAGATCCCAGGGTGCGCAGTTCAATATTTTTGCCGCCTGGTTCACGGCCAGGTCCACGTGTCTCTGTTCGGGCACCAAACTCAAAGTTCTCTCGTTTTTTAAATCGTAATAGAGCGATCTTCTCGTGATTGTGGTATTGGTAATTAGCAAACGATGAGCAGCAGCCATCACCGTCATCAACAGCGCAAACTTCTCTTTGCCTCTGGTCCTGGCGAAATCGATTACCGATCTTTTCTCACTCGTATCTCTTTCATCGACGATTTTCTCGAGATCTTCTATGGGTTCAGATTCTATGGTGCTATCCTCTAACATCTGCGTGTCCACAGAACTGTAGGACTGCGATGCTGAGTACGAAACGAAAGGCAGTCGACCGGAACACAATTGTTCGAGCATTGTTGTAGTCACGCTCTCTATTCGAGCAACTAATTCCTTCCTAGATGTTACAAACAATTAAATAATCGGTTAAACAATTAAATAATTGATCTCCATTACAACTCGTTATACATAATAGTTCCTACAGTTGTATGGGAAATATAATTCATAGTTAAACGAAATGTATAAATATAATCAGAAATGAGATTATTGACGATTTATTAGACAAATATCGAGTCTGCTTAGCTTAAATTTAAATAGCAATTTAATTAACTAAAACATAAATTTAGCGCCGTTACACGCAGTGGCAAAATGCTCAAACTGGTGGACAAAATTACTGACTGTGGATAATCGTTTGGACAGCATCAGATGGCGCCAATGTAAGTTTCCAAAAAATTAGCCCGTTGCCGGTATAATTAACGAAAATTTCTATCTTATCGATTTTCTTAGTTTTCTATTTTATCGGTAATTTTAATATTATTATTTATGAATCGATGTTATTGAAGAACTTATGCATTAATTTCACTTTTCGTAACTTACCAATGAATTTAATTTGTGAAACGGTTTCTAACAGATCTTCAAAGCATATGTAAATAAAAAATAATAAGAATTAAATTAAATTACATGTGTGTTTCACCATTTGTTGATAATATTGCCTAGGTAACTAAACCCTAATAGTTACCATGTGTTGATAATTTTGGCGAACAGTTTGGGCGTTTTGTCACCGCGTGCTTCGGCGCTGTACGAACCCCCTAACTCTAATTCGAATTTCCGCCACAAGTGACGCCACTTGTCACAAATGCGCTCTGTTTGAAATTTCCAAATCATTTCTGCCGCACACATTATGTGTGGTATTTACTTGCAAGATTTTCTTTGCTAAACTTGTTTAATTCTTAAAATAAAAATATGGTTATCTTAACACTGATAAGGTTGCAGGGAACGCAAAAATTATAATGACACTCTTGAAGTCCATAAAATAGCGTGCCAGAAATGTATTGAACGATGGTAATTCAATATCTTTGGAACAAATCGTCAAAGTATTTTTATATCTTGTTTAGAACATTAAATTGCAATTGCTTACCGAAACTCGGAATTATCCACAACGGGAACATCGATCGTCTTCTCTAAACTTTTTGCTTCATCGCCTGTAGATACTTCCTTGATGATACTTCCTTTCGTGAGATTCCAGTTGATTCCTGACATTTCGCCTGAAATTTTCATGAACAAGCAATTTTAATATGCAATTCAAATTTTATTAAATTACTCGAGTCATTGTAATCACACCACCCCAATAATACAAACAAGAACATCGTCATTCATCGACTCATTTTATTAACCCCTTGCACTCGAAGTCATTTTAACTGTAAATCTAAATTAATTTTTCTGACTTATGGTATTTCCATTTTATATGACAAAGTGCATTTTATGCAATTCCTGACATTTCGCTTGAAATTTTCATATACAATATTAATATACAATTCTAATTTTATTAAATTACTGGAGTCATTGTAATCACACCACTCCTCCAAACGTAACACAAACGAGAACATCGTCATTCATCGACTCATTTCATTAACCCCTTGCACTCGAAGTCTTTTTAACTGTAAATCTAAATTAATTTTTCTGACTTATGGTATTTCCACTTTATATGACAAAGTGCATTTTATGCATACGAAATTTACACTCTTGCGACTCGTACAACAATTAGACTTTCAACAATTTTTTACGTCTAGACTTTTATAATATAAAAATTATCCTGGAACATGATGTAACAATATATTAATGGTGCCTCAGAGTCACCACTCGAGTGCAAAGGGTTAATACCATTTAACGAATTCAATTTCATTAGAATCAGAACTTTATAAAATTATTCAGGCAGCAAAATTAAAACATTCAACCTTGACAAAACTCGCACGAAGAAAAATACAAAAATACAAAAATATAAAAGCCATCGCTCCTACCAAAAGAAAGCAATAAATCCTTCGTAAAACATTCGAATCCCAAAGCCTCCGAAAACGCACTAGATCCTCAAACCGAAAACCAAGTCGATCAACGGTCTATAAAAGCGCAAGATTTTATATTCGCCCGACCGCTTTGAAAATAAAAATCTCTGGCTACTTAAAAGGACCACGGCATTAAAAACTCCACTAAAATGTTGACGATCGCTCGGGGGCCATTAACCGCGGTGAAAAAGGACGCGAGAAGAGGGGGAGTGGAGGGGGTCGAGGAGTCGAAAGGTCGAGGAGGCAGGATCCCCGGTCGCTTTTCGCGACCGCGCCAGATAAAAATCTATCGGCCATCCGAACGTAACATTCTCACAGCAATAAACATATTAAGTTGTGCCACGGCCCGGAGAAGTATTGATCCCGGCGGTGTCGCTGGCCGCGGACCATAATCGACAACGATTTCCCGGTCTGGGGGACGGCATACGTATCGAGTAGCGAATCTCAAGAGAGCCGGACACCCCGCTGCGCATTTGTGAGCGGCGGCCATTGAACGCTGCGCTACCGAGTGCACTAAAGACACTTCACGAGCTCATTGTGTGGCGCGAAACACAGAGGCCCGACGATTGTAACGAAATTCGTCGGACCTCGGTCGATCGACTAATTTCTCGGTCGCGGGGACGGACGACCGAGTTTCCGAAGACTTTCGAGCGAAGACGGAGCATCTTGAAAACAATTGTAAACCGTGATTTTTCAGCGCGCTTCGATATATTGCTGTAGTTTATTTTTAACCCTTTGTAAGTACAGATTACATTGTTTGAATGGCGTGCGTATAGTGTAAATATAATAGATTGTGTGTTTTAATTATGTGTATTAATTGTATGGTAAATTATATTTATATTTATATAAATTGTATTGTAATATAATTATATTAGAGATATAATATAATTATTATATTATAATATAATTAAATTAGAGATATAATATAACTATTATATTATAATATAATTAGATTAGAGATATAATATAATTATTATATTACAATATAATTAGATGACAGATATAATATAATTATTATATTATAATATAATTAAATTAGAGATATAATATAACTATTATATTATAATATAATTAGATTAGAGATATAATATAATTATTATATTACAATATAATTAGATGACAGATATAATATAATTATTATATTATAATATAATTAAATTAGAGATATAATATAACTATTATATTATAATATAATTAGATTAGAGATATAATATAATTATTATATTACAATATAATTAGATGACAGATATAATATAATTATTATATTATAATATAATTAAATTAGAGATATAATATAACTATTATATTATAATATAATTAGATTAGAGATATAATATAATTATTATATTACAATATAATTAGATGACAGATATAATATAATTATTATATTATAATATAATTAAATTAGAGATATAATATAACTATTATATTATNAAGTCATAAAAATAATAAATAAAAGTCAGATATTAATCCTATTATATATAATTCAGTACTGAAGGGGTTAATTTACTGACTGCCTAGAAAGAATAGTGATTTAATAGTAATCTCAGTTTGTCTTAGTTCGCAGTTCGTCATAGCTAGTTTCCAGTTTCCTTGTTCCTTAGAAAGAACGTTCACAAAGGATTTTATGCAACACAAAATAATAAGTCTATAAATTAAACTACAATTTATAATATTTTTAAAAAACTCACTTCGATAAATTTGTATTCGTTGCATTCGTCAAATTGCACATAATGCCATCGATCGAATATTTACAATTTCTTGCGACACTTTATGTACGCACTTTAGAAACACCATTGTTCATGAATATGAACAATGCGTGTTCTACTGTACAGCGTACGAAACATTGACAACACCTTTTCGGGATCGCCGTTGTATTTTGGTCACGGACAGTCTCGGTCCGCGCAGATGCGGCGATAAATTTCGCCGGCGAAAGGACACGTCGCAGGTTTTCGTGAACGTTTACCGAAACTGTCTACTCGAAGGGACAATGAATTCTAACGAGCACGCCGATGGACATTTGCGGCGCGTGCCAAAACATTTTAGGGTCGCCTCCCTCCACAGCGACAGCTATCCGTGCGGCCCATGAATGCAAATTTATGGACCGCTCCGCTCGTGATATCGCAAAAAAGGAACGTTGTATTCATCGCTTCCGTAAGCTAGCTCGGATTCACCGTGTCGTGGGGCACGTTAAGTTAGTATTTAACTCACGGAGTTATTTCGGATAGATTTATAGACAGTATTAGATGCAATCTTGGCAATGGTGCGCGCATCTGAAGCAAGGGGTTCGTACCTTTTCGAATACTTTGAAAGCTTTTCTGACAGTCTATACTAATTTTTATTATTCTCTCTAGTCACGGATATTTTTAATCGTGGGTAATATTTGTACAAAATTATAAAATTCTATTTCTTAAAATTACTAATAAGAGATTTAATAGAAACTTATAAATTATAATATGCATTAAATAGCATTTTTAATTATTGTAGACTTATAATGGAAAATTGAATTGTAATATATTTTCTGTGGAAATTGTAATTATAATGAGATTTATAGGGGTGAAATTTATTTATGATAGACTTCTTAATAGATATTACAATCTTGGCAATGGTGTGCGAATCTGAAGCAAGGGGTTCGTACCTTTTCGAATACTTTGAAAGCTATTCTGACAGTCTATACTAATTTTTATTATTCTGTCTAGTTACAAATATTTTTAATCGTAGGTAATATTTGTACAAAACTATAAAATTCTATTTCTTAAAATTACTAATAAGAGATTTAATAGAAACTTAAATTATAATAAGAATTAAATACAATTTTTAATTATAGTAGACTTTTAATGGAAAATTGAATTGTAATATATTTTCTGTGGAAATTGTAATTATAATGAGATTTATAGGGGTGAAATTTATTTATGATAGACTTCTTAATAGATATTACAATCTTGGCAATGGTGTGCGCATCTGAAGCAAGGGATTCGTACCTTTTCGAATACTTTGAAAGCTATTCTGACAGACTAT